AGTTCCTGAACCAGGAGTCAGGAGACCAAGATTCTGTCACTAGGGCTATCACTAAACATGCTTGTTCCTGAATAAGGTGTTTATCACCATTCTGAAGTGAGCCAAGATTGGACATTATAATGGCTAAGAGCCCTTCCAAAACACAGGCGCTATGGAATTGGTTATCCTAGGGTTATATACATTGCAATATCACTCATGCTGCATGTATCTGAGAAAGTCACCAAAATACAACCAAAGGCCAATTCTTACCCTATAGAGAGGATTTTGTTGTCCATATAATAGTCCCTCATTCTGCAGCAAGATAAGCATATGTTTACTCTGGGTCTTTATCCTGCTTAGCTTTGGGAACTATTCTTGGAGTGTGGATTTCTACTGAAGAACTTCACTGAAGTTCCCTAAATGATGAATTCACCTTTCTTAACATGTATATTGTAAAAAGGATTGGATTTAGTGTCAAACAAGCTTTGGGACTCCTGGCAAATTATTTAAGCTCTCTGAGCCCCAATATATCCTCATCTGTGAAGTAGGATAATACTTCCCATCTTCAAAGGGAAGAACATAAGGATTAAATAAGAGATAGGATTTGAAAGCCTTTCTAATTCATTGGCATTACAAGCACATTTGCCTAGAGATGCCTATTCGGTACTATAGTAATGATCAGATGCACTATTTAGTATACCCTAACTAAAAATGGCAGAATTTAAATCTTGTTTATTGTCTAAAACTTGCTGTAAGCCTACAGAGAAAGTGACTTTTATGGAACATGAGTGCTAGTATGTATGTTATTATTTGTGGATGTTGATTGTTCTGCTGATAATCATGAAAATGTGAGAGTAAGGATGTGTTGTTTGCTTTAAGAAAATACGCTTTAAGTGAATGTATTCTGACTGACATCAAATTTTTAAACAATAGAAGCCATATCAGAGACTCTATTTCAAAATATTGTTATTATTATTAAAAGCAAGCAATTGTAAGATAAAAGGGATTAAGAGTACACTTACAGTGATGAGCACTGAGTTATGTATAGAAATGTTGAATCATTATATTATACATCTGAATCTATATAACACTGTTAATTTTACTTCAGTTAAAAATATATTAAAAGATCAAATGATTGCAGTAAGTCTAAATATCAGTGACCACAAAGAAATAACCTTGGAATTTTAACATGTGATTATCTCCAGATTAACAAACTACTTAAATAACTATACTGTTATTTAACAGGTGATCATCTATACTATACTGTTAATATAGTATATATATATATACATATATATAATATAATAACTGTACTATTATTTAACAGGTGATTATCTCCAGATTAACAAACATACTTAAATAACTATACTGTCTCAAGATGACACTAACAAAAATAAGTGAAAGACTTTAATTATAATAAGAATTAATTAATAATTGTTGAGCTCAGCTCTGGGATTTTAGTAAAGGAATTCTGTTGGTAATCAAAAGTTGAGATGAGACTTGACCCCTGAACCCTGGAGTTCGGCTACAGAATCCGTGCTTAGGATTTTACCTGTGAAATTTAAGATCCTCTCAGACTAATTATATAGTCTTCACCTTAGTCTTACCTTGCTGTTAATGTTTATGTTTTTTGATATTTCTTTCTTGTTTTTATTTTTTATTTTTTTTTAAGATTTTATTTATTTATTTATTTGAGAGAGAGAATGAAAGAGAGAGAGCATGAGAGGAGAGAGGTTAGTGGGAGCAGCAGGCTCCCTGCCAAGCAGGGAGCCGATGTGGGACTCGATCCCGGGACTCCAGGATCATGACCCGAGCCGAAGGCAGTCACTCAACCAACTGAGTCACCCAGGTGCCCTCTTTCTTGTTTTTAGACGAGCAACAGGACAATCTCTAATTAGAAAGTCATCTTATTTTTTGACACATATTTAGGCAAGATGAAATCTTCTACATTAAACACCTTAAAGTTGGGGCGCCTGGGTGGCTCAGTGGGTTAAGCCTCTGCCTTCAGCTCAGGTCATGATCCCAGGGTCCTGGGATCGAGCCCCGCATCGGGCTCTCTGCTCAGTGGGGAGCCTACTTCCTCCTCTCTCTCTGTCTGCCTCTCTGTCTACTTGTGATCTCTGTCTGTCAAATAAATAAATAAAATCTTTAAAAAAAAAAAAAACACCTTAAAGTTGAAGTTCTTTCTGCTCATTTTTTCAATGATAATTCAAATCTAACAGTTTTCATACTGTGCCAATATTTTATGTTCCTCCCTATAAGAAAAATTCAAAAGGGAAGCACACGCATTTTTCTTTTGTTTAGGTGGAACACCTTTTTTTTTTTGGCTTAATTCAGTATCCCCAGCTGTTTTGCCTTTTGTAATTCAAAAAATGTAAGTTATCTTCCCAGAAGACTCTTGAATACCTTCTTCTAGGAAAGAATTTGTGAAAATTGATGATGTATTCTCTAAAGTTGAAGGAGAAAAAGTGAATATGGCAATCTATTAAGGTAGATACTGATATAACCTGTAAGCATACAATCTATTTTAGATTCAACAAAACGTAACATGTTCTGTTTATCAATATTCATTCACATCAAAAGGAAACATTTCACCATATTTGTACTTTAAGATATAATTTAAAACTGTTAAAGGGATACATTTACCTTCAAATGTATTTTATGAATTATGCTGCTTGATATGTTTCTTCTTACAGAATTTATACAAAAGCATTGAATAATTAACTTTGATTACTTACCATGATGATCTATTAACTGTGTTCTAACTGCCCCACTGTGACCATTTCTGGGCCACCCAAGTTTTCTACTTTCTTAGATCAATCCGAGGATCCATTTGTTGAAACTGTGCTTTGTGGCCACTAGAATAATTTTCACCCCTATGTTGCTTTAATTTTAAAACCGTGACGATATTTAATCTTGGCTGTGTTTTCAAATAAAAGGAGTTTTTTACTCGTGCTCTGTACAATTTCAGTAGAAAGACATTTTTAATTTTTGCATCTTTCTTAGAGACTTGAGGACATATGTGTATAAAGTACGTTTCTTTTATTCCAAGTCTTTCATCCTTCAGGAAAACAATATTTGGAAAGTCAAAACAGTCCCAACTCCAAATAGATGGGAGAACAACTGTGACTCGCAGGTTTTCCTCTGAGGGATCCTCATTATCTAATCTGAATGAGGATACTAAGTTTAAAAAATGATAGTTTTTAAAGAGTTAAAAAATAGAGCATAAAAGAGCACTTTTTAAAAGTTAATTAGAACTAGGCCTAGGGGTGCCTGGGTGGCTCAGTGGGTTGAAGCCTCTGCCTTCGGCTCAGGTCATGATCTCAGGGTCCTGGGATTGAGCCCCGCATTGGGCTCTCTGCTTAGCAGGGAGCCTGCTTCCCTTCCTCTCTCTCTGCCTGCCTCTCTGCCTACTTGTGATCTCTGTCAAGTAAATAAATTAATTAATTAAACAAAAAACAAAAAACTAGGCCTAAGGTTTTATCCTCAGCCAAAATACGAAAATAGGAAGTATCCGGCTGACAGAGAACTTAGTAAGCATCTTTGCTTTCCTCCCCACCCTGACCCCCACTGACCTAATAAAGAGGCCTAAACCCAGTAGAGTCTGACGGTCCGGGGCCAGGGACCTTGACTGACTAGGCATAGGGATGCCTATCTCTCTTATGTAGTTCCTGTATTATTCCTTTAGTGCCTATGTGCTTCACATTCCGTTAACAGGAGGAACTGAACTTAATATTAAATTTCCCATGTTCAAAAACTATGATTTCTTCCTCATTCACGTGTCATCTACCTCATTTAAATTGGAAAATGGTACAGTGGCCACGAATTTCATTGGAAAAGTGCTACTGGAAGCCGATAATATACTAATTGAAATGAAGACTTCGTGGAGAGAGAGAGAAGAGAAGCAAGCGGAGAGGATGATAGAGAGACAGAGAGAGAAAGAGAGACAGGGAATGAAGAGGAAATGGAAAATGAGAAGATATGTTTCCTGGTCTTTAAAAATACCTTACAATTCTGATTTTAAAAAATTGCCTCAAAAAAGTGAGGGGAGCATATCTGAAAATAGCGAGTTCACATCAACCCATCCTACAAATACTTGCTTCTCACACGTATTGTTAAGGTCCTCTGCAAGCCTTATGCTACCAGGGATATGCTTGTGGACCCTGTACTGTTTAAAAGACGGCTTTTGGAGTTTCTGCAATAGGTCATGACCTGTGATTCCTAAGAATGAAGTCCCTTAGCATTTCACAGCAAGAAATGTCGTGGTCAAGCCAGAAGTTTAATGCTGCTAGGTTAATGAAACATGGTCCCTATGATCATAGGCATTCAGTCTACCTTTGTCCGACCCTGACTTTTAAAATGAACTTCCCTTGGATGTCAGTTTGATTGCTTACACTTAACGTACGCCCAAGGAGCTTTATTTTTCTATTTCCTTTGCAACATTTGACTATTTGAATAGAACAGGCCAGTGACTTTATATTTAGAAGTACACATTTTTGAGATCTTTTTATGCCTCCCATCAACATGATTACATCGTACCATGAAGATTACAGTGACACACGCTGCCTGACTCCCTACACTGATTATTCCTCAGTCAAGATTGTTAACCCCTATAACAGACAAAAAGGACAAGGCATAGTTAAATTATTCATATAAGTACTTAAATTTAGTTACTCGCTACAGAATTGCTAGAAATAATAAAGTAAATAGGATAACATTCATAGAGTTCAATGTGTCATTTCAAAAGCTTGGTTCTGTGATGTGGACAAAGGGGCTAACTGGTAAAAGCGATGAAAATTTTAAAGGAGAACATCCGACATTATTACATTTCAGAAGTTCCACCTAACTTCCCACCTGGAATACGCGAAACCGTATCTTAACTGCCATTGCAAAACTTATCATCAATCCCACATGCCATTTTAATATGAAAACTTTAAGCATTTAAAAAAGAAATGAAGATACAGCAAACCCTGGTAAGCGAGCGAAATGAAAGTAAAGGCACACCGCGTTATGTTACTCACCATGGTCTCTACTGAAAGTCCCTCTCAGATCTAGGTAAGCATACTACAAGGTCTAACAGAGATGTGGCGAGGTTGTCTTTATGACTCTTTGAATCAAACAGTAACTGAGTGGTTTAAGTAGAAACATGTATTTTGAAAGGTTAATCCACCCATACATAGGGAAACCCCTTTTTTAAGAAAGTCACTCTGCTACCAAGAGGCTATTAATATTCACCCCTCAGACACAAATACAACCGCCAGATAAAAGATTCATAACCTATGTGAAAATACCACAGAGGATTCCCTCTTAGTCTACATGTTGTAATGGAAACACAAGAAAACAATACACCTCTTCAAGCAATTGGGGGTACTACAGGAAATCAGCCTGCCCACTTAATGGAAAAGTTATCTCAGCTTAATAGGACCACAACACATAAACATAAATGTAGAATTAGTATAATTTACTGTAAGGACCACGTAGGTCACACACTCATTTCTAGGAATGTTCCTCTGTTTCATCTTCCTATTTCTTTCCCTGAGAGAGCTAGCACCCAGGTTAACATTTAAATACTCATCCTTCAAAGAAATTAAGAAATAAGCCCAGTACCTTAAAAAAAAAAAAAGAAGAAGAAGAAGAAGAAGAAGAAGAAGAAGTTGCTGAGTGGTTTTTTTTATTTTTTGTTTTTTTTGTTTTTTCTTAACTTAGAGGGGAAATTATATTTATAGTCCCTACCTTGTTTCACTGGCACAACAGAATAGGAATTATGTATATTTTTCTCACCATACGAGAAAATAGTCTATGTAATTATCAGCAGTGGCAAACATCTCCAAAATGATAAAGAAATTTGTGCCAGTCCAGGAATGAAATCATGGCTGATGAAGTACCCAGCAGTAATCACTAATAGTTATTTGCACTATTTGTTTATGTCAAAGCATTCATTCTTCAGGTAGTCATGGCAAGCTTGAGTAAACAGCAAATAGCAGGTTAGCAATACGCTGGAGAGGCCGGAGTGGGTCAGAGTTTACCTGGGTGACTGACTCTAGCTCTCCTCACAAGGCATTGCACCATAGGAAAGCAGACTCCACCACATGAGTTAAGGAGGATCCCACCTCTGTGATTCCACTTCTGACACAAAGACTTTGCGAAGTCAGTGATTTACACAGGGAACTTCAGCATTATCTTTTTTACGACAAAATGTTAGTAAGTATCAATCCTGGGTGGTGAAGTCATGAACATTCATTACATTTTTCTTTATGCCCTTCTGTACTCTGAGAAACAAACTGTTTTGGAGGGGAAGGGGGTGGGGGATGGGGTGAGGCTGGTGGTGGATATTAAGGAGGGCACGTATTGCATGGAGCACTGGGTGTTATATGTAAACAATGAATCTTGGAACATTGAAAAAGAGAACATTAAATTAAAAATTTTTTTTTCAAAAGAAAAAATATTCTATAATGCCATGTAGATTGCATAGACCCTTAACCTAAAAAAAGAAAAAAAATTAAAAATATAAACAAAACTAGGAAGCAATCTGTCCTTAATCTGAGTTATTAAACATTTGATATGAAAATACCACTGTTGCAAGGTCTCCTAAAGTCTTTTGAACATTTCTTTTAAAAAATATTTTTAAATAACACAAAATGACACTTACCCTCTTAGTTTCTTTCCATGTGAGAAAAATAATTACTCAATGTTTCACAAGACTATGCCATTTTAATGTGATACCAAAAGAGCAAGAAGACATATCAGCAAACAGCAATAAGGTGATAAAGTCATTCTTACAGGCTAGAATCTCTACATCTAATTAAGCTCTTCCATTTCTGTAACTTCTTTTACAATTACAGAGTGCTACACAAATGCACAATGTAATTGCTGTCATTAAAGTTTTACAGTGTTCCCAAAGTGTGTCCAATCTTGTCTCAAGCCACGCATCTCTTCATTTGACAACCACGTAGATTAAAGAATGTAGAGAAAGCATAGAACTTTGTTTCAGAGTCTACCGAAGGTTATGCAGGAAGGTTATTTCCATTAAAAACTATGAGGTGGACAGTGGAGATGACGATGCTAGTCAATGGAAAATGAAATAAGATATGACTTTCATTTACCTCATGAAATGCTGGAGAAGAGAGAGTCCATAAACAGAGGCAGAATCTTGTTACCTCCACTTCCCACCACCCGAACCGTGAAAGGGAAGCTGGACTCTATCGAGCACTACCATGAAACAAAGATGCAGCTGGTCCATAAGGCACTGCATTGCTTCTCGTGTATATTTAAGCCACTCAGTATCAACTGCAAGGAAAAGTTGCTATTTGCTGACCAAATTATTTTTACTGTTCACAAAAGAGCATTTTGGTCAGTGTTTTAGCTTTAAGGAAAAACAAGGAAATGAGTTGAAAAATATGTTAATAAAACTTGAAGACTAGTGTCCAAAGTGATTGATCTAAAGTTAATTTCACATGGCTTGCAGGTACCAGTGTCTGAGGGAAAGTGGGAAAGAAGGAGGAAATGAGACTAGAGAAGTAATACAAGGTCCTTGTGAGTTGAGTTTGGGAAAAAAAAAAAAAGTCACACACAATGTTTCTTCTTTCATCCAGAGGTAATATCAAGTGTATTTAAGAGTCTAAGGGATGGAGGTTTCCAAGCCTTGGGCTTGGGAAAGGGCAAATCCAGTCTGCTTGGAAGGATGAGCCAAATGTGTCTCCTAGTAAGAAGGCTACCTGGACCTCAGGTGCACCTTGTGGACTAGCCACAAGTGTCCCGGGGAAGCCCAGCAAAGTGCATCCACGTGCTTGTTTTCTGACCCCATGCCAGGCCTGCCCCCTCTCCCTCTCTGCCACCAAATCCATTTCCCAAAATCCCAGATTCCACATCATGGGTGTCTTCATTGAATGAAGACCACAATGCAAATACTACAGTTGAGGAACTTACTTTCAAAGCTTCTAAGAAATATGATAAAGCCAATCTGACAATGTTAGTCTCATGAAAGTAGAGTTTCTTTGGGAGTTCTTCAAACTAGATTGTCTCTTCAGTGAGAGCTTTCTTGGGATTAGAGACATATGATGCCCATTTAGAGTCCTTCAGTGGGGAGGCCCCAGCCTCTTGCCACACTTTGGTCCTTACTGTTTCCATGAGAGAGTCAAAGAGTGTATTTTTATTATAACTGAAGGACATCACCTGTAATACTACTTGAAGGACAGAGATGGTTGTGCCAAGAGCTTCAGCTGAGTATCAAACTAGAAGGGGAATATGGCTTGTGCTTTACTGTCTCCTATCCTGGTTTATTGGTAATAAAGCTTAGTGTTTAATAGGGCCTTCTACTTCATAAAAAAAGTATTTTTTTTTTCTCCTGGATTCAAATTATCATAACAACCAGGAGTGTAGCTGACTTTGCTATTTGATGAAATCTCATCTGGATGAAAACTGACATAGAGAACAGACAATTTGTCATCATTTTGCAAAACTGAATATCCATTCATAAAATTCTGGAAACAGTTATGATATAATGGTTAAATTTGATTATTTTTCTCCATTCTTCTTTTTTTTTCAATAGAACTGCTGTCTTAAGAACTTAGGTAACTCTATACATTTTTCCCGAGTTCTCTGTCATTACTGTGTGTATGTGTGTGTGTATGTGTGTATATATTTTTAAAAAATTCCAGTTATGGATAGCAATGGGCTAAACAACAAATGATTTAGACCCATTAAATTATCATAGTTCTGCTTTTTCCTAAGGGCTGGAACAAACATTCCTCTGAAAAATTCTGCCAAAAAGAGGATTTATCAGGCAAACAATTGCGGGAGGAGGAAGGGGCATAAATCTCCTTTCTAAAGAGGATGAAAGGATGGATGAGAATCACGGATGTAGATAAATCAGAAATGCAGCTGTTGGGGACCAAAGTCCAGTTATCACTATATACCAGGCCCAAAGACATGGTGATCTTTAAAAGACAATCCCAGGTATTGACAAGTGGAGACGCCCCAGGAGAACTCTGACACACAACTCCTTTGACTTTTACCTGCACCACAACGGCATCCTTTCCTGTTTTCAATATACATGAATCTATTTTCTCATCCAAATTCAGGAACCATACCTGTTTTCAACATTAAATTTGCTTTTGATCATTTCTATCTTGTAGGAATTACCACCCAGAGAGCATTAATTTAGAAGTCAGGCATTCTGGATCAAATTCTACAGGATCAACATTGAATAATTTACACATTCCCTATCTGTGTGAAAATGGAGTTTGGAAGCCCTACACATCCGATCTGAAGGGAATTTTTCTTCTGGAAGGTTCTAATTTTAGCAGTTTTTAATTGAAAATCTAAAATGGAGAAGTAACTTTTGATCCTAAGCTGTGATTTCTACTTTCTGTAACCCTCCTTTACAGCCAAATGTCTTCTTATGCTCTTCAGATCTTAACTGCACATCGGCACATTGTGAGGTTTGTGCACTCGGGAATAGACAGGAACTTTAAAATTATAAAAACAGTTACTAAAATGATGAGCTTTATGGTTTTTTAAGGAAAAGTCATTTACTATTCTGACGTTTGGGAGGGGTCCTCACTGTTTTATCCCAGAGGACTCAGAAGATTACATAACAAATGTAAAACTTTACCTCCAGCACCTTGAAACTCAAAATAATTTTAAAATTTGTATTGGAAATCATTTTATACACCAAGGAAAAAAAATGCTGAGATCTGCCCACAGTTTAATTTAAACCAATTCATTATTCTCCAGTGGCTTCTTTCTAACAGCATTACTACAGATCAGATTCATTTAACCCCCAAAGGCTTCTATTCCTTTACCTAAAAATGAGATTTGGACAAGATGATGCCTAAAAATCCCATCCCAGGCTAAAGAGTCTATAATTTGGTGTCATCCCAAATAGCAAACAGCACATTTCCATTTTGATTGGTTTTATGGTTTTTAACATCCTTTGAGGAGAAAAAAATATCAAAAATACAATCCTTGCATTGTCTACAAGTGTGTCTATCCTGAGTAAGTTCTACTCATGGAAGTGTATTAACTCATTCAACTCTTAAACCAAAGCATTAATGACCTAGAGGAGATGGACTCTCAGCACAACTGAAAAGTATATACTCGAATGCCTAATTTACTCCCTAAGTAAGCCT